CCCGCCCCCGCCCCGCTGCTCTTTCCAAGCGGGAGCCCCGGCGCCGGGGGGAAACGGGATCCGCCGCGGGAACGGCAGGCGGCGGCGGGCGGGCCCCGGGAGCTGTCCGTGGTGGCCGGGGCCCGGTCCCGGGAGCTCTCCATGGTGGCCGGCCCCGGTCCCGGGAGCTGTCCGTGGTGGCCGGGCCCCGGCCCCGGGAGCGGGAGGCGTCCTGCGCCCTCAGCCCCGCTCGGTGCTGGGCGGCCCCGGCCCGGCGTGGCGGGGTCTGGTCCTGCCCCTGCTGCCCGGGCACCGGGGGACGGGGAAGCGTGATCCTTCCCCTCGCCCTGTGCTCCAGCGGCGAGGGGAAGCCGCCCGTGTCAGAGGTGCGGGGGTCCCGCTCTAGCGAGCGGCGTGGGTCCTGTCCTTCCCTAGCCCGGCAGCGAGCAAACGCAAGAAAACTGCTCTCCCTCCCTGGAGAAGCAGCCACTCTGGCTTCTAACGGCTTAAAAATAAGCAAAGCTACTAGCGGCGTGGACGTGACTTTTATGAGCGCTGTGAAGCTGAAGCACGACGTGGTTTTTCATACCAAAATTAGTGCTGTGTCTTGGGCATGTTAACGGGCAGTTGGCCCTTCCCACTCGGCACCTGGAAGCTGTCTTCTGGGCTTTGCTTGCTGACTTCGGAAGTCTGTTTCCAAGATTCATTGCATTATTGTTAGTGTCATAATGAAAACTTCAGATATCATTTGTTGACAGCTACTAAACTGTGAGGTGATCTCCTAAATACATTTCAATGTCTGTTAAAAAAGCTACTTTATTGGGTGAACATTTTGAAGAATGACAGTGTAATGTGAGCACTGGAAATAAAGTGCCATGCCTCATTTTATCACTAAATATCTCCCAGGCTCATGCTATACAATTTGCTTGCTATTGTAAGTATCACCTCTTATTTTAAAGCAGTTTAGACTCCCTCACGTTGCTAAATCATGTGGCATATCAAAACAAATGCAAATTTTTAGTCTAAAATCTCTAAACTCTTAAAAATCATTAACAAAGAAGAAAATGGAAAATTATTTAAGTTGTAGTTTAAATATATAATAATAGCATTATGGTTTTGAAGAAGGCTCCAGCAACTTTTATTGTGGATGATAATATTTATGATCCAATATAGGGTAAGCTACCAGGGTCAGCTTCAAATGAAGAATAAACCATTCTCAGGTAATGACAAGGTAAAACCAACTGAAGAAGTGAAACAGAACTGTTTTCATTTGTAATCTTCAGAATCTTGGAAGCAGGCAATGGACAACAGAAAGGTCTTAATCAAATCTAAAGATTAACTATAAACTTCATGTGGGGTTTAGTTTCTCATTATGTGTCACTAAAGCTTTGAGTTCTGAGTAAGCTGTGAGAGGTACGCTATGGTGTAAAGTTTATACACAAAGGATAACCTGAAACGGCTCTCTCAGGGAAATGCTTTTGCCAATGGAATTTGGATAGATGGCCCACAATATTTTACAGGATACTGAGAAGTGATCTGATGTCAGATGAGTAACTCACCACTTCCATTTTTCTTAAAGTGAAGTGGCTCCGTGAACCATGAGATACATGTTTATTCTGAAAATATCTACAGATTTATTAAGCACAACCCTCCACCAAAGTCATACCAGTGCTCATTCTGCATTTTTAGATAGATATTACTGAGTTTAATTCTCTTGACAGATGCTTTCCTTCTGTCAAGAGAAGAGAAAGACGAAAGAAAAAGCCCTATATTTATATGAATGAACTACTGTTATTGCACAGAGATAAATACAGAGCTAAATCCTGCAGTTTTTGTTCCAGTGTAATTCTCCTCGAAGGCAAGCTCTCTTTGAAGTGGAAGGTATTTTTGTCTGACTAAGCAATAAAATTGTGTCATTCCATTCCATGGAGAAATATGGAAGGATAAAAAAAGATGCTGAAAACAAGAGTTGACATTTAGAGATATCGTCGCAAGAATGGTTCAAATGTTGTAGAAAGGGGCAAGCATGGATTTCCTCAATTTTTTTTTTTTTTGATAATTTATGGTAATTGAATGTCAGTATGAATGGCTGGTCCCTGGGCTCTACTTCCTTTCTCCATTCTATTTCTATTTTGTGCTTTTCAAATTCTTATGCTGTGCCCATCACTGTGGTATTTGAGCATCTTCCAAAAGTGCATTAAGTAGTGTGACTCACATCTGTAATGTGGACTATTTATCCTTTTCCTCTCGCTCCCTGGGGTAAATATGTGTGGATTTAAAATAGATACATAACTTCTTCTCCTCCTTATGCCTGTTTTACTCTTTTTGGGGAAAGGAAATGCAGATGGTATTGAGTTGTAATCTGTAGCAATAGTGATCAGGTCAGCATGAATTCTTGCCAGGATTTGCTGGAACATGATGGCATGGAAAGCAGAAGCTTTCCAGATTTGCTCTCTCCTTTGGCCTGGTTCAGTCTGTGAAATACGCCCAGCTACAGTTGTGCACTGTGTTCCTGTGGCAGAGCTTCACTGTAAAAAGGAGGATGGGCAGCAAACTCTGCTGCTTTGACTGTCTCTCTTCTGGAATTTTTGGGACCCTTGGAGTGTATTTTGAATGTCATCTATTAGGACGGTGCCTTTTTGACAAGGTTATTGAACATATATTTTGCATATTTAATATGCAGAATGCAGGACACTCGTAGAGATTGAATTTATGTCTGTACACTCGGTGTAAGTCCTTCTCTGCCATTATAGGGATATTTACATATTTTCAACTTTTATCTTTGTGGTTGTTTTACTTTCATGCATATTGAACAGAACTTTTTATGCTGGCTTTTCCTTTGCATTATGCACATCCTTCCTCTTATAAAGCCTAGTTTTCTGTGTGTAAGCTTTCTAACAGATGTTAGATAGCATGTTTCCTCCGTATGGATTGATTTGTGGGATCAGTCTTGTGCTTTTTTACTTTTCATTTGTACTTTATTTTTGTACCAAAAGACTGGCTTGAGAGGATGCACACAGAAAAAAAAGTTTGTAGAAGATGCTAGGATGCTGACATTATTTTTAAAGATTTAAGTTTCAGTCCTTGTAACATGCATATAAAGTTTTGTACTAGCAGTATCACGAGTTTCCAGCTCCTTTGCCTGACTATTCTAAAGATAAAACGCTCTCCTTGTAAAAAGTCAGACTTGCAGCTCTGAAAATACAGGCCTTTCAGCTTTTCATGGGTATGGACAGTTTGGCTCAGTGGAAAACAAGTTTTCCCAAGAGAAATTTCATAAAATCATCCTTCGAAAAGATCTCTTTGTATTGTGTGTGTGTGGCTGAAATTAACTGGCGTTTTCATCTGCTTTACCCAGGGGGAGAAGAGAGATGGAAATGTGGTGGGCTAGCTAGAGAATGGTGGCTCTCCGTTAGCGACCACTGTCAAGTCCAGAGTAAGCTTTAGTAAGCTTGAGGGTGCTCAGTAGCTGTGTCCATGATTGCACAACCATGGTAAAAATTGGGTAGCTACACTGACCGAAACAAAATCTCTAACAAGCAGATGTCAAAGACTGTGTTGGCTCTCTCTGGCACCATGGGTGAGTGAGTTGTGGGGCAGGATGCTGGGCCTGGGGGAGAGGAAGCAATAGATTGATGGCTGTGAGTCACAGCAATGTAAATATCCGCCTCGCAAAGCTATTGTACTGCTTTATAAATAATTTTCTAAATAATCAACGATTTAATGCTGCTTTAAAAGCATTGTATATTTAGGATTGGGGGGTTGGGGCTGGAAGGATGACAGAGATGTTGGTGGTGATTTTTGTTTTGTTTTTTGAAAATAGAGATATGTATATAGGAATTTCTGAAGTTTGTAGGGTAACGCAAAAAGATCTGCTTTGGACTACATAGTAAAATAGGTCTCCAGGCAATTTTAGTTGTTTAAGTTATGCTTCCATAATCACATTGTGTTCTGTCTGATTCTGGAGAGCTGATCAGAACAATCCATTGCTATACCACTCATCATTTTGCTTTTGTTTCTACGTATTATAAAATAAAATGTGATAAGGTGACTTTAAAAGTAATAAATTTACACAGTATAAAATAAGTGAGAGCGGTAGCTATACATAAAGGTGAAGTTGAGGAAGACAATTGTCCTCTGCCCTGCCCTGCCCTGCCCTGCCCTCTTCTCTGCCCTTTTCCCTTCCTACTACCTCATTCTCTGCTTCCTTCTGTCTTCTTTATCCCTCCTCCCTTCTTTATCATCTCCGCTTTCTTTTGTTTCAACAATTTGTACTGCTTTTTGGGGCCACTTTCAAAATTGTCACTATTCCTTACTCTTCTGTCTTACCACATGCTTTGACATTTTATACTGTAGATAATACTTGTCAGGATGTTATGACTTGTACCACTTGCTCTTCAAGAAGACCCAGTGTTTACAACCGTTCC